CTAATAAATCTATTAAATATGTTAACCGGAAGATGATTAATTAATTTTTTCTCTAAATAACATAATCTATAATTCAGTGTTCTTCGGTATTTAAAGCTATCTAATTGTAGTATATGTTCACTATGTTTGTAATATTAAGCAATATAATTATGAAGGCATAAGACCACGAACGCCTGATATCTTTGGCTAAAAATTATTATATTTGATAAAAAACAATTAATAGACGTTTCGGTCTTCAATGAGACCTTCTTCAGTATTAGAATAAATTAAATGTGTTACGCATAATAATTACATGATATAAGACTTAAAATTAGATTCTTACAATATAAGTATTATTTTGGCTATTACAAAATTCCGTCAATACTATAATCGCAAAAGTTTTTTTCTCCTCCCTTTCTCAATTCTTACTGAATGTGATTTATATTCTCGTTTAAACGCAATGTTTCCATACCAGTTTGTTAGTCTGAGTAGATCTTGAACAGTATACCATGAACGATATGTACGCAATTTCTCTCGATGTATGTCCACACAAAAATTCCAGTTTCTATTAGATAATATATACAAATGTAATTTAACTAAGACAATACATCGTGTATTAAACACATTAGTTATCTTATAAAATATTAGAAATTAATCAATCGGATTTAATTTACTAAATTATAATTAAAAAATAAGTAACAAAAAAAACGCAATATAGTAATCTTATAACAATATTTAAGCAATTATTTTCCGATATATGTTCAACAACAGATCCAGTTTCTATTAAAAATATCTACAATTGTAATCTAATTAATAACGTACATCCTGTATCGAACAAATTGGTAATCTTATGCAATATTAGAGTTATTCAATCGGATTTAATTTAATAAATTATGATTAAATAATCTAGTCAAAAAATAAATTAAATAGTTGTCTTATAAAATAATCGGAATACTTAGTCAGATTCAATTTCGTACATTGTATAATAATTAAGAAATATAGTTAACTAATTGTCAAAAGGTAATAATAATCTCAATAGCTTTTAATATAAATAAATATTTTAATAGAATACCTGTGTCGAAGATGAGAAGATTTGCAATCAAGAACGTGTAGAATTCATGTGATCTCAAACAATGCTAAAACAGTTATATTAACGTCTGTACAATTCTGACAGTTTATATACATTCACTGAGTCAGCGATAGAAAGTTCTGGAATTATGTAGAGGACGATATGTTTAATAACGGAAAGTATGATTCGGATAACATTTCAGTGTCGTTTTGTTTATTGATTCCTTTTCTTTGTTTTTTAATATAAATCATTTCTGAAGTGAATCTTTTTTGAAAGAAAGGTTCTGTGTCCAAAATTTCAATGTTATCCCAATTAAATTTGTGTTCATATTTGATTTGATGCTGTGCTACTACATTATGCACTGTGTTAGAATTGGAAGTGCTTGATTTATGTTCTTTCAGTCTCGTTTTTATTTTTCTCTTAGTTTGTCCGACGTATGAGGATTCACAATTTAAGCAATTAATTTTATAAACTACGTTACATTGTTTCATTTTATCTAGTTTGTCTTTACCTGTTTTGATTATTGAATTTAATTTATTCATAGGTTTATACGCGATTTTAAAATTATTTTTTTCCGTAATTGACTTAAATTTTTCCGAGATGTTTTTTATGTATGGTACCGTAAAATATGTATTAATAGAATTATCGTTGTCTGAATTTTGAAAATTGTTATCGTATACATTCTTTCTTTTAGCAAGACATTTGATTCTTTTGTTAATGGTATTAAAAATTAAGTCTAATGGATAGCCATTGTCAAGTAAAGTACTAATCATCAATTCTATGTTCTTATTATGAAATTCTGGATGTGCAAGAAATAGAATTCTGTCAAATAGGCCGATAATAACACCTTTTTTATGTTCAATCGGATGATTCGAATGAAAACTAAGATAGCGTCCAGAATTCGTCGGTTTTTTATAATTGTTAAATCTGATCTGTCCTTCTTTAACATACACAGTAACATCTAGAAAATTAATCGAACCCTCATGATTCCGTTCGCAAGTAAATGTAATCCTGTCATGAAA